CTTGACAATGAAGGTGAAGTGGATGAGGGAATCAGAGACCTTGGAGTCGAAGACGGAGATAATATAAATGTTGTTGGTACTTCAAATGAGTGGACTGCATTTAGGGATAATTTAGCACAATCTATGTTTTTGCTTCTTGGAATGCTACCAATTAATATGTATGATTCAAATGTTTGTTTAACTCATACTTTTAATGTTTGTGTAAACTTGGAGAAAGTTTGGAGAAAATGGCGAACGAACTTAACAAGGGTATCGAACGAGAAGAAGAACTTGATAAGAAACGTTCGATGATCACTTCTATGATCTCAAAAATGCAGTCATTGGCCCAACCAGAGAAGTTTAAAGTAATTTCAATGATAAGAGACATCCTGAAAAGGTGAACATGTTTTGGAACTTGCAAGAAGTAGATAGGGAAGCTTATGTGAATTGGTTTTTGAATGAATGAACAAATTTGGTGGCTAAATGTGTGGTTTTGGAAGAACAATTTCGTGGTTAAATATGTATTTTGGATTAATAGATTTATTGATTAAATATGCATTTTGGATAAAAAAGTTTGGTGGTTAAATATGTATTTTGGATTAATAGGTTTGGTGGTTAAATATGCATTTTGGATGAAAAAGTTTGGTGGTTAAATATGCATTTTGGATTAATAGGTTTTGTTGGTTAAATCTATAGTTTTGAGAAATTGAAAGAGATTTGGTGGTTAAATATACACTTTTGAAGAAATTGATATCAAGAAGGTAATTTATCAATAAAAGGAAATTCTTTATAAAACAAACAAATAATTACAGAAGAAAAAAAAATCTCAATCCAAATCCTACAAACCAAACATGATTTATAAAGGAATGGATTTCAAATCCAATCCAAATCCTACAAACCAAACACAATAAAGGATTTTAAATCCAATCCAATCAAAATCCCTCCATAAATTCCAAATCCCTCAAAAACAATCCTGCAAACCAAACGCACTCTTACGGTTTCACCAAGAGGGAGTAAATGTAGAGAGAAAAGGGTTGGTGAGTGAATAAATGAAGTCTAAACTAAAAAACTCGATTTTATCACCTGTATATGACAATGGTAGCGGCACAAGGGTTGCCCGCGTTTCTGACTAGACTTACGGTACCAAAAATGCGCCCGTGGCCTCACCGTGCAAGGGTCACGGTCACAAGGGTCGCTGAACCCTAAAACCTCCACTTACGGTACACAAGATGCGACCCTGGTCATGCGATGTGAGGGTCACGACATAAGGGGCGCAAAACCCGTTCAGATGCCTGAAATGACTCATTCAAAGCCTGATTCGAAATCAAATTCTCACCACTTAATCCGTCAACATAGAAACTAGATACACGAACTAAATCACAAGCGTAACCTTGACTGATTAGAATCTAATTAATTACATCATAAAATCCCGAGTGTTACATGCATTTTTATTCTAGACACTTTTATTTTGCCATCCATCTCCATCGCAAAAGACATTCAAGAACCTCCATCTTGATAGATGACGTTTCATTTTTGTTTTTGAAGACAACCTCCATCTAGGTTATGCTTCTTTTCTTCATTCGTTGTTATCTTTATGTGTTTTGCTTCTTTTTTGATGAAATTACCCATTGTTAGGATTGAGTTTTAGTGTTACATTGTATTCGTCTTGAAAGATTTATAATTGTATTTTAGAGTGCTTTGACTTTGTCAATGTTGTTGACTTTGACTAGAGGTTTTATGTTTGACCTATATATAGCTTTTGTCTTCTAATGAATGGAAGAGTTAGGAGCTTTATTGTAAAATACGTATATTGAGAGTAAATAGAAGGTGTTTGACCAATTGATTTTTCCTCTCTAGATGTTCTTGATGCTCTAACATTCAGATTTCCATTGTTCATACATGATATAAGAAGATTGATCGTATTGTAGGACACACACTCATTACACTTGCTCCATATTTATACCCAGTCGATATAGAGAAAAAAGGTTAGTAGTTGTTTTGATGAGTGAACTAATACAGTTGCTTGTGTTTTTTTTTTACCAAGTATACATGAAATTGCAGAGGCATATCAAGGCAAAAGAATGTATGTTGAACTTAATATAAGAGGTCTTTATCTTTTGAATTATGTGTCTTTTTTATAAATAATTCATTTAATTTTGGATGTAAGGTTAGTAGTTGTTTTGGTAGATGAGGATGTTTAGGTACGTTTTGGAGTTGTGAAAAATAACTTTGAGAAGAACGACTACGCTTCTAACTTTGGCTTGTTACAAGACAAACTTCAACAATTTTCTTTGGCAAAGTTCCAATTAAAAAATAACCACTTGGTCAAATAAAATTGGCTAGAAATAACGATAGCGGTGATTTGATGGATAAGATTCCTCCGTCTTGTCATTGTTGAATAGTGCTTTACCAATCATTTTCATTAAAAATATTTATTGTGGTGAAATGGGGGAGTGTTAATGGCACCCCTTTAACAGGAGCTGTTGAATGTTTGGGAATCGTGCATCCTTTAAAATCTATGAAACATTAAATCGATTTAATAATATATTTAATTATTATTATTATTATTATTATTATTATTATTATTATTATTTTTATTTTAATTAAGTTGTATTATATAATTATATAAATACTTTCC